TATTTACTCATTAAAATGAAAAATATGATCATTGTTTATCATATCAAGTCACCATATATGAAAATCTATATTTTATATGAAATCCATAACGATTATATTTTTCATTCTCATTCTTATATTATTGCAGTTCAAACGGGCCTTAATCCTTACTTAAGGGCCAGTTTTGAAAAAATCCGGGTTTGGTTTGTGGCTTGGAATCAAATACTCTCTAGTATAGGACAAGTAGCATAGAATCCCAATCAACTTTTTATTTATTTATTTATTGTTTGTTTGGCCTGACTTTTTGTGCTGTGGGACCAATTGGCGGTGGGCAATGTCTAAGTGGGCCTCTAATTATTTTGCTTTTTTATTGATATCCATAAGTTTGTAATAAAGGCTATTCAACATCATTTTAACTATACATTCTTTAATAATATAATATTACACGCAAATTAAAATTTTTTTCTTATTTTTTAACTACATATTTTTCATTAATACACTGTTAAAAAATGCATCATTATCAAAATAATGTGGCTCAAACACCCCCTAAATAAATTTATATAAGTATTGGTTTTGTTTGTAAATAAATAAATAGATCAACGACATGTCTTCTCATTTACAATAAACATTATCAACTTGGGATCAATGGTGGAGTTAGAACTCAAATTTAGTGGACGTGTGAGTTTAACTATGTTAGTACTTTCTCAACGAAATGATTGTAAGATAATGATAAAAATTACTAGAAGATTAATTAACTTTTTTTCTAGACAAATTAAAAGCACATAATGAATTGTCTCCATCATATCTTTTATCACTTGCTGGGTTTTCATGGTAGGTAATGAGAGAGCTTTGGAGTTGAGAGGACATAGAGCGAAAATTAGGGTGGGGATTCAGTTGATAGCACAAGATTTTTTGCCATTAAGCGTTAAATGCTTAATTGATGATTTGTATTTAAAATTTAAAATATTAAATCAACTCGTATATGTCATTAAAAAGATTAATTATGGATATTGTTATCGATTTTTATCATGTAAGTGTACTGATTATGAAAAAGTAGTAAACTGAACGTGAGTCCATGGAGAATAAATATTTAGCCCATGTTTAATGGCTATTATTTGGGAAAAAAATTGTTTTGAATAGTAATTATTGGGAGAATGCTTAGTTAAAAAATAGGAATAGTTTTTGAATTCATGTGTAGAATATGTTATTGTGTGAATGTTTAATTGAAATTGAGTACGTAATCAAATTTTTGTTTTCAAATAATGGTTGTCAAATATGAACTTAGCATATTTCTAAGTTAACTCCAACTATAATCGAATGTAAAATAACAAATAATTAGGTTTGGTGGTCATTATTAACAACTTAAATCTATAATTAATCTTATTAATCTATGTTGTAGGAAGCATGTATGATTACTTGATTAGTTAATAAAACAAGAGAATCTCATATGCCCTTACATTTATTCACATTAAAATATAAAATAATGCTATTCATAATTGCTTGCTGTGGTAGTGATCTTATATGACATCATACATGGCTTTTTATAATTTGATGTATTATTGTGGTAGTTTTTTATTGTTTCATGCATTAAATCACTATCAACCATATATATACCACATAGGACGATTGCGATAATGAGTGACTGGATAGTATTATTCTAAAATTTATTCAACAATTTGACAATAATTATTCAATATAAATATCAATGTTCCTTTCATGTTCAATAGTCCCTTTCCGAAATCAATCAAACATATTTCTAAGCACGACTTAATAATATTCACATTTAGAGTTCAGAAATGAAACAATGCATTAAAAGTACAAAAACATTGCAAGAGCTAGACATTATTCCTTATGTCTATTTAACCCTCCATTGAATGTGACACTAACTTCCATATTCGTCCTTTTGAATATCAATAGGAATCATACATCGATTCAATTAGTGACTAATTACTTGAAAGCATTAATAGCATAACAGACATTCAAAAACTATAATTTTCTTAATGTTAAAATTACATAATTAATATATAGGATTCAACATTATCCTAACATCTGAATAATTAGTCAAATATCATAATATTACAAGAATGCAACAATAATAAATACATTATCACCCAAAAGTTAGAATTTGGGAAGAAAGATGAAATGTTGTCTTGAATCTTGAATTACTTCAATGGTTCTCTATTTCCTCTCCTTTGATAAATTTTTTTTTTTTTGGTAGTAATTCCAAGCAATTGATATAGAGATATGTATATTTGTCTTGTATCAAAAGCTTCCTCAAAGTTTTCAAAGAAATGGTGATTTGATCTTCAATTGACTCTGTGTAGAATATATGTATTTGAGCCTCTCTCCCTCCAATCTTTGGATGATTATACATATATAATATATTATGGGATAAGATTTAGGTCAAATCTCGTGCCCTAAAAGGTTTCTATAAAGTGTTCTATTGAAAAAAGGAAAGAAAATAATTTTCTCGAGACCTACCTATGCGATCGCAAGAGTATAGGGATTGCGATCATAAAATTCACAAGATTTGGACGTTAATTTTGATCGCAATAGTGACTTGTGATCGTAGGTCCCCTACTTTTCTCCCTATCACAAGCAGATTGTGATTCAAAAAATAATACAAGTGAGGCGTTACAATTGGAAAGAAAGTTGTACCATATTGCACATTTAGACAAACGACTTATCCGTCAGCAGCTGCTTGTGTACTATAGATTATGGGAAGTGATGGCTTGTCCATATTTGCCATTGGAGGTGGGCCCATTTTTTTTCACAGGAGGCCACCGTAAAGTAGATCCATTGCACTGTGGTTTTCTATCCATCCAACTGAACTCATCATTATCGACATAGTGTCGACTCATCTTCAATGCTACCACTAGTTATTTTAGACCTTATTCTAACCTTTGTGCCACCGGTAACAGGTCATAGTCATACAATTAGAAAACACATGTGAATGTGATCCGTTTCCGATAAATGATTATGATTTATAAATTGTCTAATTGTTACTTAATGGTGATTGTGACCCATATATTGTGGTATATGACTGTCACATAGAGTGTTTGTAGCTTAATATGTGAATGTGACCCATTAATTGGGTGAATCCGATTGTAATTTATTTTATGAATAATTATATTTGTACATTCAAAGATGTACCGAATTGTTTACTCCTCTCACATGCATGTGGAACCTGCGTGAATAAAAAAAAATTCCTAAATGTGGCCCTCACCCCCTATTATGAGTAGTCGGTAAAAAATTAGGTAAAAAAAATTCTATACATGTAACATTATCTTTTTAATATTAATCTATATGTCACAATATTTACGAGAGGTCATAATCACACATCACTTAAATTTTGAAATTGTATTCTTAAGTTATTTTAATTGTGAAAATTTTCCTTTATCAAGCTTCTGTTTGATATGGATTAAAATTAGATTTTTAGTAATTTTGATAAATATTCATAAAATATGTGGTTAAAAAGTTATAAATCTCATAAAATATATCGTTAAAATTAATTGTTATTTTAATTTAGATTAAAATCTAAAATTTAATTTCAACTAGCTAAATTATAAATAATCAGGTGAGCAGGCCTAATTTTGACATTGAACGTTCTATAGGCTATAGCTGTTGTATGATTTGTTTTTAATTCGAAATTATTTTAAAGGAAGTCAAATGAAATTAATCCAAAATAACCACTTTCATAAAATTAGTTGAATGATTCAAAAGTATCTTTTAAGCCCTTGTTTGACCATAATTATTCGAAAAAAACAAAGTTTCGAATGGTAGTTTTGAAGAGAATGTAAGGTTTAAAAGTAAGAATTTTTTTTGATTTCGACCCTATTTGAGCCCCATTATTTTTTCATTAAAATGAAAAATATGACCGTTATCTATCACATTAAATCACTCTATTTGATATTTTATCTCTCGTATGGAGTCCATAACGACTATATTTTTTATTCTTATTTTTACAATAATGTGGTCCAAACGAGAGCTTCATGTCTAAAATATTTTATTATCTAAATTTGTGGTTAAAAAATAAATAGGTAGAAAAAGGATTTTTCATTTTGACAAACAGGGGCTATAGATNACTAGATCTTTTGGATGTTCAGAGTGAACAAAGGTGCGGAAAAAAAATCATATAGCCAACCCTAAAATTAGAGAGATTGTTGGCATTTCTTAACCGGGCTCTGATTATGCCTTACGCGGTTGTTATTTCATAATCCTCATTCTCAATTTAACTTTCAAAATTTGCCCTGATATTGTGAAACTAGGGATGTTAGATTGAGCACAGCAACATAAAAAGATTTGTTTAACGAATAAGGGTTGTTGATATTGTTGTATTGTAAAAAAATAAACTGAAGGGAATTAATCTTAATTAAGAAACCAAAAAAATTCTTTCTACAAGTCCTAAATGTACATAGAGCTAAAGCATTTATACGCAGCAAATAGAAACTTTCTACAATTAACTAGATTTAACCTACATTAACCTAAAATCAAACAATCCCGTTGAACCCGAGGAAATTCAGAAATACATTTCTCTTTTATTCGTCTCTTAAAAATTTTCAGAAAATACATTTCTCTTATCTTTCATCCCTTAAAACTTCACTGACTTCATCACGGCGTACCATACAAAGCTTCTAACATGCTCATAAACAGAAACCAAACTCTAATAACAACACACTACTAGAAACCACCCAAACAAGTTCAAAAGGCTCAAAACTAAACTAACTAAGAAAAATAAATCTAACCTCAGCTCGGGCAAAAATAAAGGCCAGGTAATTATTGAAATCAGGGAACTGAGTGTAGTGTTGAAGCTTCTGCCAAATCAGAGACTTATCGTCTGAAGTGGGAGCCATCTGCTGCTCTAGAAGCCCACAGATCTCCCGAAGCCCCTCCTCCTGCGGCTGCCACGTCGCTAATCCACTACCATCAGCACTTGAAGCCATTTTTTCCCTTTTTAAGCCAAAAAAAATCAGATTCTTTGGTGGTTAATTGACGAAAAGATTTGACAAAAGGTGAATGATCGGGCGGCGAATTTAGGATAGAGAAGTGTGTTAGAGCGAGAAAGAGAATCGGAGTCGACGACTATACTGAGGGAACTGTTCGAAGAACAGGTGTGCAAAAGAGGAAGACAGAGATTTGGGTTCTTGATTTTGTGTTGTGGAATTTGTTCGAGAAGGGTCAAATCGGGAGAGAAGATCAAAATTAGGCCACTTAATAGTTTTATCTAAAGAAGACTCGTACATAAGTTAATATTTCAAAAACAACTTTACCCTGGTTTGAGCCCTTTTTAGCGAAAAGAATTCGTTTTTAAATAGTAATTGATGAAGAATATATTGTAAAAAATTAAGGAAAATTTTTGAATTTGTATATAATATTATCTTATTGAAAAATGTATGATTAAAAATAAATTTTTAAAATAATAAAACTCAAACAAAGGCTTTATAATTTTGTGCGTGCTACTAAAGAAAAGTAGAAACCCTAGTTTTTATGTAGGGTCAACCATGGTGGAAGTTAGGGTTGCAAGTAGAAATTGTCAAACCGTTAAATTAGATCCATGTTATGAAAAGAAAAAAATAATAAAAGTCACTAGACTGGTGTTTATTTTATTAAAAACTATATGAAAGAATCAGGAATACAAGATAATAATTTATAGGGCTGCAAGGGTACAATTGTCATTCACTAATAAATTTATCAATTATAACAGTCCTCCTTATATGACACATTACAAAATTTCGCCTCATTAAAACGTTGTTTGATAAAAATTCAATAGACAAAAAAAATCAAACGAAAGAAAATAGTACAGTTATTTTGAGATATTAAAAATAAATGATACCTCATTAAAACCTTGCTAAGGAAAAAGAGTACAGCTACTTCTCCGATGTTGATCATTGAAAATCTTTGAGTCGATGCATTCCAATCTCATAAACAAATTTTTTTAATGCAGATGTTGGCAATACTTTTGTGAATAAATCGACCACATTTTCACTTGAGTGAATTTGTTGGACATTAATGTCACCATTCTTTTGAAACTCCTCTATATGAGAAAAAAATTGATGAAATATGTTTCGTTCAGTCATATTTGATATAACCTCATTTTATTGTGCAATGTAAATTACATTATTTTCATACAAAATTGTTGGACTATCTTTTCTTAATATTAACCTACATAATGCTATACAAAATTTCGGCATGCTTCATGGATTGCAATCATTTCAAAATGATTTGAGAATGTTGTTGTCGATAATTGCTTCACAAACTTATATAATATAGCTATTCCTCCATCTATAGATATATCTTGTTTGTGATTTAGCTTTGTGTGAATCAGAGAGATAATCTGCATATGCATATCCCACTAAAGTGAATCCCGACCTTTAAGAATATAATAATCTCAAATCAATAGTACCTTTTAAGTAACGAAAAATATGTTTAACAGCATTCCAATATTCTTTGAGTTGGTGTAAAACTATATCTTATAAGGAGATTTACAGAAAACTACGTCGGGTCAAGTTCAATTTGCAAATAAGCTAACACTCAAATTGCACTAAGATATGGTAGACCAATAACATTTTCTCCATCTTCTAATAGACAAAATGGATTTCTTTCACATCCAGTGATCAAACAACAATAAGTGATGCTAATGAATGTGCATTGTTCGTATAAAAACGTTTTAAGACTTTTTCTGTATAAGTAGATTGATGAACAAATAATTCTCTTAGAAAGTGTTCAATCAACAACCTAAGACAAATTTTGATTTTTTCCAAATCATTCATTTCAAATTATTTTTTCAAATAACCAGCAATTTTGTTGAGCTTCTCAAGAGTTACGATTAAATTTAAACCATCAATATAAACTCGCACAATTGCAAATTCAATATTTATTTTCTTTATTAAAATACATGGACAGATATCGTCATTTTTATAACCTTCTTTCAACAAATATTTGTTTATGCGATTATATCACATGCATCCATTTGATTTGGTCAATCATTACTTTGATAGATATATTTCGACGCATTTATTTCGATTCCTCGCCATATGATGCAGTGCATCATATTCAACATTGCTGTCAACAATTTTTCTTTTCGATTCTATTTCTCTTCCCATAATAACATAATTTATTAAGATATCTCAAGTTTCATTATTTTAGATACCTGAACATCCTCTAAGATTTTATAATTTGCTATGTCTAAATACTCATCAAGATTATATGCCTCCTCAACGAAACCATCTATGTTATTTTCATTTGAATATTTCTTATATTAGAATCGAACACAATCAAGCTTCATGCGCGTCGTAGATATATCAAATAGAATGCTGACAAATTATCCTCATAGGACATCAATTCATGTTAAAACATTTAAAGTTGGTGCATGAGATATTGTTTATCTTTTTGATCAATAAATACATATAAATAAAT